TTTATGATTCCCTGAGCCTTCCACAGAAAGAATGCTTGATCACTTCTTCTAAAAACTGCCGATAAGAAAATTAAATCCCTTTGGCATCATTGCACAGAGTAGTTGCATAACAAACTGAGTATATATAGAAATTGCTTTCCAAGTATTTACATAAGAGCTTGGAATAACACAGATGTAGAAAAAAAAAAATCCAACTCAATTTACAAACCAGCCCTGCAGTGCTTTTGTGTCTGATAAAGGGAGCGAGCGAATCAGCTTACCAGGGGTACACAGGGAATATTAGTCTGGTGCTATTTACATAACTGGGAAAGAAAGATTAAAATGGGGCAGACAAGTGTGTATAAAGGGTGATTTCCTTATCTTGGAGAAGATCCTCTGTCTGGACAGAGACTGGCATAGAAGCTGATGCTTTAAAATACTCCAAGCTGTCCAAAATCTCCTCTGGTCTTTTTGTGCCTGTTCTGAGATCAGAACTCCACAGACACCTCTGCAAACTCTTCTCAACAGTCTCAGTACAACACCCAAGAAGAAAACCCAGGGTTGTTCTACCAACCTCTCTAAAGACTGCGCGGCACAATCATTTGTCTCCAAAATGTTCCCATTATTCAAATTCTGGGACTTGGAGCAGGCTGGGCACCAAGCACGTCAGTCCAACCAAATGTAAAATACTCTTGTGAATAAAATGGCTCCTCTTGAGGACCTTTAGATTTTGAGCTCAGCCTAAGGGTCCTGTGCACACTCCCAAAGGAGAGCAGCACTCACTGGTGTTGGTTTTAACTGAGCTGCACCTTGGGCATGTTATGTTGATGTCACCCAAACATCAACCCTCTAAAACTCAGCTTTCCTTTTTCTGATCTCTCCCTCTGCACCATCCAGGTCCAAATATAATATAATAGAATTTAGAATTTAATGGAATCTAATTTATTTCCCTCTGGACAGTAATGGAACAAACAGGCCCGTGGAGATCAGTTCAGCCTTCTATTACTGTACATGCATTAAACATTAGAACTGCTATACTCCTCCTGGTAGGGATATGAAAAATGCACAGAACATTCCAAATTTGAATTCCATAGTTATCCATAATGCTCTCAAAGGTTTCTGTTCTTTTCAGATGTCACCATGTCACTTTCCTGAGAAACCTCATAAACCTCTCGCTGTTCCCTTTCTTACTGGCTGCCTCTCACTGGGTCCAAATTCCTCACAAAACAGACAGATTCCACCACTCCAAGCCTCCCCCAAATGGTGAGAACCAAAAATCATCCTGGGCAGAGCCAACCTTAGCTGAGCCCTACGTGGACATTCACAGAGAGAGCAGAGACATTTGCTACAGCTCTGGATCCAGATCCCATCCCACAGCTGCTGCCCCACGTCCTTACTTTCTCCATGAAAATCAGTGTTTCCCAATGTCATCCAGATGGATACACTCAACTCCCAAAAGGCATTCTCCGAACCCACTTCACAGAATAATGCTGGGAACTGCAAAGCTGCTGCAGACCATTAACAGAGATGTTACATTTCCTGTATCACAGCCAGGAGCAAAAAGAAATCCCTGATTTACCCCTCTCTGGAAGATGACTTCTTGGGAATTCTTCCCCAAAAACAATGGCACTATTCCCACCCATGTTACCCTAAATTTGTCTCTTCAATTGTTACACGTTCAGCCAGTTTACTCACATTCCCATGAAACAGCTCAGATTTCCCCCCATTTCTGCTCAAGAGAAGATTACAGTTGGTGTGACTCCTAGGCCCTCACTGCTGAGCCCCTCCTCTTTCCCTGGACATGTGGAATTCTTGTATCCACCAGGGATTTGCCCACCCTTGTGCCTCTGGCACAGGTATGAGGAAACAGCTCAAATTGCCACCAAGAGTGAGAGAAGCCCTCACCTCCCACCTGCACAGGGCTCAGCTCCCACTGAGTATTCCATACTGGTCCTGGGATTTATCTCTCTTCTGAGCTCTTGTAGCAGCAGATAAACCATCCACTAATAGAACACAACTTCCAAGCACAGACAAGCATTTATCTTCTTTCAAGTGCAGCATTTTATTGACTGATGGTATCTGCACAAGTGGAACGAACACAAACATTTTAAATCCTTCATGAAGAAAGATATTTTTCATAAAAAACAGGTGAAAAGGCAGCTTTACAAAAGATACCATGCAGAACAGGGTCAGGACATAAAAAATATGCTCCCCAAAAACCCTGCAGCCTGTGAGCTCACTGATTTCCACACCCCAACACAGCAGCTGTTGCTCCATCAGTGGGAGACAGAGACAGTTTAAGCTGTGCCACACAAGTTCCAGAGCACAAAATCTGTTTACTCCTCACTTAGTGATGGAGTCAGCCCTCTCTTAAACAAGCAATTCCATGTACAAATCTGGTTTGAAATAGCTATCCCAGAATAAATGCATCCTAAATCCCAACAGCTTTCCATTGCCCACACTGTGGACCCTTCTCTGCCACTTGAGTTGATCACCTTTCTACTACACAAATCCACACTCTATGTTCCCTCTTCCACATGAACACCTGAATTTTTGCAAAAATCTTGATTTTTGCAAGATCTAAAAGCATGCCATTCTCCCAAAGCCCATCAGGCTGCTGTGGGGTTAAACTTTGGGGTGCCATTTCTCCAGAGTGCCATTCTCCCAAAGCCCCTCAGGCATCAGGCTGCTGTGGGGTTAAACTTTGGGGTGCCATTTCTCCAGAGGGCTATTTCCCCACTGGGGTGTCCCCCTTCTCCTCTCCAGCAGGAGTGTTTCTCTTCCACCCAGCCTGGTGATAAACCCAGGCACGAGCCAGGAGGGCACTGGCATTTAATAACTTAAACGTGAGAACCCACAGCTCTGCAGGAGCGAGGCAAATGGACATAAATCAGATGGGCAGGAATATCTCAGCATCTCTTAGAGCACGAGCTCAGAGAGGACAGAGCTACTGGGAGTCAAGCAGCAGGGCACAAAGCACTGAGAGAACCCCAGAATGGTTTGGGTGGGAAGGGACCTTAAAATTCATCCAGTGCCACCCCTACCATGGGCAAGGACAACTTCCACTATCCCAGGGTGCTCCAAGCCCCCTTCAACCCGACCTTGGGCACTGCCAGGGATCCAGGGGCAGTCACAGCTTCTCTGGGCATCCTGTGCCAGGGCCTCCCCACCCACACAGGGAAGAATTCCTTCCTTCTTCAGTTCAGCAACCTAAAGTCTGAGTGAGGGAAAACTCTTGCTGTAGATCCCTGGAAAACAGAGCCCCACTGTTGAGCTTGGCTTCCCCATTTTGGAAGTGTGCAAAAGATTAATGCTAAAAGTGTTCAAAGAACACTTCAGGTTCATGCTTGGTGTAACAGAGGCATGAGTCTGGGAAAGAGCTCCTGGAGAGCCTGACATCTCTGGCACAAAGCTGCTGCTTCACAGGTGCCTCACACGTTCCAAGGGAAAAGGGGGCAGAAATCTGTGTCTGTCATCACTCCTGAAGCAATGCTTCAACCATGGAACCATTCACTGCCCAGAAGTCACATGAGCTGGTATGTTTTGCTTTACTTGTTATGGAATAAAAACCTCCTGTTTGCCCTTTTCAAGACGGGCTTGTAACAGGAGGGCAGAGGGAGAGAAATGGGGTGGGAACACGGCTGTGGAAGGAGAAAAATCCATTAAACCCCCAAGTCTCACTAGTGCTCCAAAGGGGGAATAGTTTTACTCCTGGAAGTGCTGAGTTCAGGGTGTCAGTCCAGATCACTCATCACAGGAGTTTCAGGGTTTGAAAAAGAAAAAAAAAATCCAAATCCTGTTCTTACAAACAACCACCCCACAATAATCAACCTAGCTTGAAAATCCAAAAGTCTGTTTTTTTAACTCAGAGTAACAAATGGCTCTTCCCCTGCAAGACCCTGTGCCTTGCAGCCCTGCTGCTTCCTGGAGAGCTGCTAAAGCTCTCTGTGCAGACACAGACAAGATGCTCACCTGAGCCCCTGCTGACAACCTCACTATTGGCCTTATTAAGAGAGAAAATACCAGCAACTGACATGGTATGCAGCAAAGCTAGCAGAAAAAGAGGCAAGGCTCCATCTTCAAAAAAGGAAGGAATTCCTGGAAAATGCAGTGCTCAGAGAATGAATCAATACAAAAACAAAGAAACAAACCTCTCCCCATACACACAATAAGCCATCCAAAAAAGCCTCACCAATATACACAAGAAAATAGTCTTACCACCGCTGAAAACTCCATAACAAATTCAACTAAATGAAATCAAAAAGCAGAGATAGGGAGTAGGACAGAGGGAAACATCCAAATAAAGTGTGAAAAGCAGTGGGGCACAGAGCAGCAGGAGGGATTGAAAGAGGGAAAACAGAAATGGGATTTACAGTGTAATGGAGTGTGGATCAGCAGGAACACACAGAGATGAGAGGGTAGGAGAGGGGAGGCACATGTTATTAGAGGTGCAGGTGGGGCAGAAAAAGGCTGCTCTGGACAGGCCAGATCTGGACAGGCCAGAGTGATACCCAGCCCAGAGCAGTGACACAGCTCTGCTGGGGTCTGCCAGGACATGGAAGTGTTCAAACACAGACTGACTGTGGTACTGATGTCCACAGCCTTGTCCTCTAGGGCCTACTTTCAGTCTACATAACTTCTAATATTTCAGTCTTACAGTTTTCTGGGATAGTTGACCAGGTTGTTTTTTAACTATTCTCACAATACTCTTGTATTTAACAGAATTACAGGAGAATTCATCAGGGATGATGGCTGGAGACCTCTCTGTCACTCAAGGTCTGCTGCCCTGGCACAGTAATGTCCCTGAGCAGTGCTGGGATAGGCTGTGGGAGCCTTGGACAGGCCCTTGTGCTGAAAGAGAAGTGACTGCCCAGTTCTCTCAGTTCTCCTGGCACTGGTGACAGCTGCAGAGCCCTGCACTGCTCCCAGGGCCTCTCCTTTAACTGATGGACACCTGCTGGACTATTAAAGGGAGTCCACCCCAAGATTGTGCTTGTCTTCCACACAAAATTCATCTCAAGTCAGTAATACTAAAACTCTCCAAATACATTTATTTATCACCAATGAAAATACTGTACAGTGGCCCAAGAAAGGGGTAAGAAAAGGCAAGGTATTAAGTCTGGCTTTCATCAATGTCCTTGTCAGGATCCATGGCTGCAGCTTCGCTCTCCTGCTGCTGTTTCTTCCAGAGCTTTGCCATAGCCAGGAGTTTGAGGTTGGGCTGATTGGCAGTGTCTTCTGGGAAAATGTAATCATAGTACTCCTCCCATCCAGCATCAGACTAGGGAGAAAAACACCACAAAGCAAGTTTAATTTGCATGTTAACATTGGCTATTAGGAGGTGCTTCTAATAAGAAAAAGAAGTTAGGATATAAAATGAAAGCCCATGTTTGCTATCCCCTGCCCAGCAGCTGATTCCTTAAAGCACAAAGCCACCGAGGGCTCACAGCTACTGCTGCCATAATTTTTCCTTACCCCATCTTCGGCCTGCAGCTTTCTCCTCTTCTTTATTTTCTCAGGCATCAGTTTATCTATCCTCTCCTTAGTGGCATCTGTGCCGAACTCGTCCTCGAAGCTCCTCCAGGACTCGAGCAGCATGACCCTCTCCTCCTTCTCCTCGCAGCTGCGCATGGCCTTGTTGGCCTCCTCGTAGACCTGCCGGCAGCGCTGCAGCCGCTCGTCCCGCCCCGCCGACAGCTCGAACTGCGCCAGGCTGATCCACACCTGCGGGCACAGCACACACCCCCAGCTGCAGCCTCTGCTCCCAGCCACCACAGCCAGGGCAGAGCTCCGAAACAGCAAAGCGGCCAAAAAAAAAAAGGGCAAGTATCAACGCCCAGAAAATCGGGTTTTTTCACACAAGCGAATTTCACCCCACTTCAGCAGGACACAACATCCACGTCAGGCACGTGGATCAATTTCTTGTGGCTGTTTCAAGTCATGAGAAATCTCTGTGAATTTTGTCAGTGACAGCACCAAGTGACACTGGAAAATCAGAATTTCCCTTGCAATGTTTTAGCAACCAAGATCCCAAAGCTGCTCGGAAAAGCTTCTTTCACCTGAGATAGGCCTGTTGTTGTAAGGAATTCAGGAACTTCCCTCCCCCCTTCACAGCACAGGCATGGGCCTGAACCTGGGCTGAGTGAGCCAAGGCAGCTCAGGCTTTCCCTGCCCACGGGCCAAGCTCAGGGCTGGCTCTGTGTCCTGGGTGCCCACACACACCTTGACGTGCTGTGTGCGCTGCAGCAACCGCCGGTAAAGGTTCCTGGTCTTCTCATACTCCTCCTGCTCAATCTCAAAGTCAATGTAGGATTTCCAAAGCACCTGCAACAGAGAAGCCTCTCATCATGTCTATTCCTCACCACACTGGGAGGGGAAAAGAGCAGATAAAGGTAAAATTTCCTTGAGGAAAGGTTCAGGGATCTGTGGCATTCACATTCTCTGAAAAAATTCCTTTGCCCAGGATTTTTCTCCTGGGAAGCAGAGAGAAGCCTCAGAGAAAAGGAAAACAATTCTTATCTCATTTGCTTCTCCTGTGTTGCGCTCATGTGTGGAATGTGTTTGGAGATTGTTTACCCACAGGTGATTGTTTCACTGGATTCTGGTGTGAGTTGTTTTCACTCATTGGCCAATCAGTGCCAAGCTGTGTCAGGGCTCTGGACAGAGTCAGGAGTTTTCATTATTATCTTTTTAGCATTCAGTATCTATCTTTTCTGCATTCTTTGGTGTAGTATAATATTCTTTAATATAATATAGTATCATAAAGTAATAAATTAGCCTTCTGAGAGCATGGAGTCAGATATATCCCTGCCATGGGGGTCCTTGCAAATACAACATGGATCAGGGTGTTTGGCATCACAGGCTGGGATTAGTGCTGAGCAGCACCAAACCTGGTGCCCATCACCCACTCAGCTTTCACTTGGTGGATTACTGCCATGCTCATCAGCCACACTGAGCAACAAAAACCTTAAAATCAGTCCCCTCCCTGCTCACCTCTGGCATGTCCAGCCGGGGCTGGCCAATAGCCAGCTCGTAGATGGCCCGGGCACGGTCGATGTCCCCAAGGATGGTCTCCAGCTCAGCAAACTTAATCCAGGACGTGCAGTTTTCTGGAGCAAACTCCAGGAATTTTTCATACAACTTTCGGCAACGGTCAAATTCACGCAGCTGTAACTCCAGCTCGATGTAACCTTTAAACAGTTTGTTTTTTGGACATTTACCTATGGATGTGCCCTGTTGCACAAAAAAAAAAGAAAAAAAAACAACAAAAAACAAAACAATAAACCAAACCCTTAGTGATCTTGGAGGAAAATAAAACCCCCACTCGATTTTTCTAAGTGTTTGAACTGCAACTTGGTTTTTTGCACTGTTTATTCAGCTTGTTCAGGGGCAGTAGTAAATTCAGCCAGTGTCTGCAGAACAAATGAGCATCCATGTACACCAAGAGCCTGGGAAGCAGAAGACATCTGTCATCTTGTCATTCTTTTACAGAATGTGGGCTCCCCATGGAGTGTGAGTGGAACCTACCCTGGCTCATCAGCTGAGCACCTGAAGGAAGCACAGTATCAGTCTGTACCAGCCTGCCAGGTAAGCAGCTCCCAAGCATCTCATAAAACAAATACCAAACAAACTGTGGCCCCACACTGTTCCTCTTGGCACAGAGAATGGCTGTCCAACCCTGCCTGCTGGCTGGCAGCAATGGACAGATGGAGAATAAAGTCTTTACAAAGTATTTTCTTTCTGATATGCCTCAGTCTCTGAAGAAAACTGTCTTGAGCCAAGCTGTGAGAGGCAATTCTGGATTCTTAGTCTGGTAAACTTTTAAAACAAGAGTTAAGAATGGGCATACCTGAGACAGGCTGTAGTGAACTTGGCCTTGGGAGTCACTTCCATAGACTAGTATTGTTTACTAAGCAATGTGGCTTCTGCACCCTCAAGCCAATGTGAGGTAATTTGAGATGGAATTCCCTTACCACAGTTCTCCTGCACAATGTTCCTACATGCTTAGTACCTTGGTATTTAAGAAAAATGGAGGAAACCACCACTTGGGATTATCAGTTTGGTCACTGTTATGGGCCTCCAGCTCTGCAGATGCCACTGGTATTTCAGAATATGCTCAGTTCTTCTCCCTGTGCTCCCCATCACTGTTTGGGTGGAAACCCCACCACTTTGCTCTTGAAAGTCAAACCACCCCAACTGCTACCAACGCTGGCTTTCTCCCAAAATGCCTGATGCTATCCCTGAGCTTATTACGAATATCTGAACTGAAAGGAAAGGAAGTTTTTTATTTCAGAAGATGCCATTTCTTGCTGCCCCATCACACCCTGCTGTCCCCTCGTGCTGACATTCAGAGTGAACCTGCTCAGCAGCTCCTGAGCCTGCCTGAAGTCCCTGTGATTGCTTCTGTCAGCAGCTGGGACTGGCACACAGTTTGGCAGGTCCTAATTTCCTGGAGGCAAACCTCCCATTCATCTACAACGCTTTTTAAAGCACCATTGTTAGAACAAGTATCACTGTAAGCCAGCAGCAGCAGCTAAGAACGTGTAAGAGCACTGAGCTGATGTGGGTGCTCGGCTCAGCACTTTGTCGTTTCTGCCCGGGGCTAATTCATCAGAACAAGCTACATTTCTTTTTAAATCATACATGACAGTAAATGCTGGCCCCTGCAGACTTCTTGGATGCTTTATTTTAAGTGGATTAAATCAGCAATTTAAAAAGGACAATTTAAGATCTTTTAATGCCATTCCTGTGTTACTATTAGTTAGTGAAGTCAATTATGGCTCTGACAAAAGCTTACCAAAGCCCTTCTGGCAAGGGGGAGGTTCTTCTGCCGAATTTCAAACTGTGCATACAGCAGCCACATTTTAGCAAATGTAAACTGGAAGAAAAAGAACAAAGTGCTATTTAGGCTAGAAAGTGAATATATAATACTGTACATGTTACCTAAAAAAATAAAAATTCTGTCTATACAAGATATGACTGCTACTGCAGGTAATCTCATCTGATCTCAGTGTTTTCCTGCTGAAAGGTTTAGGGTTCATTATCTAGAACAGTCTCTATGACAGGACAATATATTGGGGTGAAAGCAAAAATGGCCAGGACAGAAGTCTTGTAAACCACAGAAAATGGTTTTTTAACCAATCATCAACTGGGAAAACATAAGCTATTGCTGAATAAATTAATAGCTAATCAGCTCTTAATAACTAGAGATTAACCTCACACTCAGTTGACACAATAAATGACAAACAAAAAGAATATGAACAAGGATCTTCTGACATTCCATGGCAATGCAGTTGTAAGGGTTTGGCCACAAGGAAGTTTTAGTTCAAGTTCACAAGCAATAAAAAAAAAAACAAACACAAAACCCCAATCAATCAGCCTTGAAGACCAATTGTAATGGGGAAGACAGACCTGACAGCTGTGCAGCTGCCTCGGGGGTGGTGACCACGGAGGCCACTGGATGATATAAAAGGTGTTAACCCAGCAAGCAGAGCCTCAAGTGCCCTACAAGAGACTGGGCTGTGAGCAGGAACAAACGATCCTGCCTGAGGAGGAATGCAAGCAAGCAAAATCTAAGTGGTGTCCCCTACTTTCTGACTATGTGCAATGTCATCTTCTTGCAGTCTACTTAGCAACTACTTAGTAATTTGAAAATACTGGAAAAACCCTTTTGTCACATGTGAGGGCATCCTGACACCAGTGCTTGCCCTGAAGTTTCCCTCTGTGATGCAAACTACAGACATCTTGCACTCTAGCTTGAAAACCATTCTGGAAGGTGGATGTTTGGAGAAACTGGAACAGATGGATACCTGAAGTTTAAGCAAAGTCCTCATGAACCCACTAGCAGCATTTGGAGCTGCTTACACCCCTGAATAGCAGGGTAAGAGAACTAAAGGATCTTATCCAGGCCATTTTAACCCAAAACTCAAGCCAAACTGACGGAGAAGCCATACCTTCTTGTGGGGCAGGAGCTCAAGGCATGCCTGGTACACCTGTCTGGTTCGCTCTGCATCCTGTAAGAACAGGCAGCACATAAAACACTTTGTTTACTGCTGAGATCATGCTGAATTTGAATCTTGCAGTGACTGCAAAACTGCAGAACAGTATCTAAGTCAAGCTGATAAGAATCAGCAATGCTTATGTACTTAGTGTGCCAATTCAAAGGTGGTAGCTTCTGAATCAACGAGACTCACCCTTTTCAAAGCAAGGTTCAGTGCTAAGAAGCCGACAATAAAGCAAGGAGTGTCCCAGTTGTGGGAGGAAAAATAAGTCTTTTCCTTTTACAGACACTGAACAGGTGTTCCATACTCAGAACAGCTCTAATGTTCCAATAAATACTTGCACAGCGTCTCTCTAAGGTCACAATAGCAACAACATGGCTAATTCACAAATAGATTTTATTAACTATAAAACTATTTCACAAGTTCAGGTAACAGTCAGTCTGCCATGGCCAGTTCAGCCAGGGGCACCAGAAATCTCCACTCCTGCTTTTGTCATCAGTGTGTTTCTGAATGAATTGGGGTAAAACAATTTTGTTTTTCTCCTTCGCTTATACACAGGAGGGAAAACTGGAAGAGTACGGAAGGGCTTGACAGCTGGCCTGCAAGCAAAGCTGAGTTAATAGAAGAAATAACAATTGATGATTTTTGAGTGTATCCATAGCAAAGAAGAAGACAAAGCCGTCAGCATGGAAACAGATTAAAAAAAATACATGAACATTTTTGTAACCTAAACTACGTGCATAAGTAAATGCGTATACATGCCTGCTTAAATTTCTGTAAAACTTTTGCCAATTATATTGATGCCAATTGCTTTGCACCAATGAATATAATAAATTATGGTAATATAGTTAATGACTTAAGATCACGCTTTGTTAAGAATATATAAGCTGGAGAACATGCAGAATAAAAAACTTCTTTCTTCTTATACACACACGATCAGGGTTTATCACGTGTGAACTCAGTAACAGAAGATGAAAAATTCTCTGTATTTAAATAGCAAATCCTGTAACACGTTACACAAAACTAGTAACACAGAGAACACTTAATTCTCGGTTTTCCTATTAAAATACCAGCAGCTATTTACCATAGAAAAAGGGAAACCCCGAATTGCCACTACTTGCCTTTGCCTCCAGCTCCTCATAGAGCGCATAGTTAATCCAGAGGTAGATGTACCTCTTCCAGTGGCGTTTCTCCTGGATGGGGGGCACGTTGGCGATGGCTCTCTCGTACACCTCGCGCACGGTCTCGGCGTCCGTGTCGCTCTCCACCAGCCGCAGGTAGTCGAACCACGCGTCGTAGTTGTGGGGGTTTGCCTTCCAGAGACAGGGCAACAGCACACAAACTGCAGTCACTAAAACAAGCACAGCCTCATCCTTTACTTAGGCAGAATTTCTCTTTTAAAACAGATCACTGGAATACTAACAAAAACTGTCAGTCTTGGGGATGCTGGTGGCTTTGTTTTTATTTTGCCCTCAGCATTGTCTCAATGAAGGCAATCCAAGTAAAGTGTGAGAAGAGATGAGGAGTGATGAAATGTGCAGGGTGGACTGAACAGCAGACAGGTGTGGCACTGGTGTTTTCTTACAAAAAGGTATTTATGCATAGGTGAGGTGTCCTGTAATGGCTATCCCCTAACGTAAGTAGTGAGAGGAATAGTGGATTTGTCTTTACAAACAAGCTGTAGGTCTGCTGGTAGATAAAACTAGCAATGGGAGGTAAAAGAAACAGTGGGAAGGATTCCACTGATTGATGAATGGAAAAATGTATTTGCTTTTACAAATAAACTTTAGGTTTCTGAAAATATTAAACATCATTTGAAAAATATATACAAAGCAGTTTCTGTCATCCCTGACGGTTTTTCAATGAGCTTTTGGCAATATTTAACAGAATATAGAACTGTGGGACATCCAAAGGTAAGCAATTGTTTTACAACAGGACTAACACAGACCTCCCCGAAGAGTAAATTTTGAGGGGGAAGAAATAAACCTGAAAGCCCACATAATCTCTAATTCATTTACATGTTTAGAATATTTAAAGCAATTTAAGAGGTTGTGGTTTGGGGTTCACAGAATGTCTTCAATTTCATAACGGCCTGGGAACCTTAGAGAATGTGGAAAACATCTGGACCAATCCAGTTTTCTATCATGCAGGCCCCATAACCTCTCCAGTATGAGGATACAGGTTTGAACCAATGCTGTTGGTCTTGGGCTTGGCAGATCTCCCTTAGAGCACATTTTATTGAAAAGGCAACTAGAGGTGAGGAAAAAACTGTCTCCCTAACTCAGACTACAGTCACGAGGTGCTGGCAACTCCAAGCATTGCAGTGAATGTTAAATGCCTTCAGTTTTGATCCTCAAGGAGAAACACTGGCACGACTCAGATGCGTTATCAAGAACATCTTACCTCTTTCTGGTTCTCCTCAAACTTGGCAAAGGCCACGTACAAGTGCTCATCCATGTGCTCCTCCCCAAAGAACTCCACTGCCCTCTCGTAGACCTTCCTGGCGTGGGCAAAGTAGCTGTGCTTCTCCTCGAAGCGCGCGTACTTGATCCAGTTCTTCACCTCGGGGTGAACCAGGACAAGTGCAGCTCTTGTTAAAGAAACAGCGCTGCCTGAGTGGCACACCCCCAGCTGTGCTCTTCCCGGGGACATCTCCCAGCATGGCACACGTGGGGGACAATAAATGCAGCTGGGAAGAAGACACTGACAGATACAAGCACGCAAAAGGTTTTGCGCCTTACCGTGAATTTAAAAAGGGATAAGGGTCAGGGAAAATCTGAGGAGAAACCTGAAACAAACAATGGATGAGCAGTGCAGTTAAACAGACACTGTTGTGGCAGGACTCACAGCCACTGCACTGAATATGGAGGCTTTCCTAAACATGCTTTTAACACCTCCTGCTGGCTTCCAGGGTGGTGGCTCATTCCCAGCAAAAAGGAGTACAGGGGCATTGCCAGACATGGAATACTTGGGAAGGAGATAAAGAATGGACACCTTAACCCAGGCAGGAGTCATGAGGCTCTGAAAAGGATATATCTCTCGTAAATGCTTCGTGCTCTGTCCACCTCCTTGTATCTGAGCTCGAAGTTGATGTAGGAGTGCCAGGCCTGCTCCTCTGGCTGCCACTCCATCCACCGCTCGAACACCTGGCGCGACCCAGCCACGTTCCCCAGCATCTCCTCCATGTACGTGTACTTGTACCTGGGAAAGGAGAGGGAGTCTCTGCAATCACACGCTGAACACCCCCATTCAGGGATTCCTGGAGTGCTCCCTAAGAGCATCCCTCACCCATTTCCTCCCACCCCAGAAATGCCTGTAAGCACAGCAGCATCCAGGCACACAAACATCCTCCTCCCCCAAAGCTCCTGCCACTTCAAAATTACAAAACCTTTCCAAATCTTCAGCCTTCCTCTCATTTTTTTCAGACTTGGAGAAGGAGGATAATCTGCATAACGCCACGGGGGTCTTTGGGGCCAGAAGGGGATCTCACTGCTCAGGCACAGTACCAGAACTGGTTCACCCTGGGCAGGGTGGTGATGGCCCGGTCCCAGATGTTCCTGGCGTGGTTGACCTGGCGGTTCTTCATCTCCATCTCGGCATATTTCAGCCAGAGGGTGACGTTCCTGTAGTCCACATCCAGGGCACGCTCGTAGATGGAACGGGCTCTGGAAAACATGAGGGCAGGGCAGGTAAAATGTGCCCCCCAGGCCCTGGTGTGTGTCTAAAAAGGGTTGTAAGAGATGCCTGCAGCCACACCATCGTTACCTCTGGATTTCCTTCAGGCTTTCCTCCCATTGTGCGTACTTTATCCAGTTACTGATAACAGTCCTGTTCTTTCTTATGTTATCTTCAAAAGTCTGAGGAGAAAGTTACACCTGTAAGTCAGAAATCCTTCTGCAGACCACCAACATCAAGAACGGCTCATGGGGTTTTATAATAACCATTAGGAATATGGTTGCTTTGCTTAGGCATTTTCAAAGCAAAAAGCCAAGCAAAACCATGGGTAAATCTGAACAAGCATAGCAATTCTTTCAAAAGAAGATTTATAACTTAGCACTACTGTAATGTTATTTACTTTCTTTGTTCATGTTTTTATAGTGGCTGGCAAGATACTGTTGATAACGAAGAAAACACCTATTAATTGTGTAAGTAATTACCCTTTCAGTGTTCGGAACATAGGCACAAGGGAGATGTTACCAGATTTTGTCAAGCAACACATCTATAAATTGCAGGTTATGTTAAAGAGTAGCATGAAAAAGGGGTTTTAAAGAATTGGTGTCCACCTGGAAAGTCCACAAGGAATATGGACTACACCTTGTTTAAGCTAAAAACAGTGGAATTTTAGTGCTTTACGTGAATGTGGACATTAAACCAGTTTGTTGTTTTTTTACTGTACCTTCCTCTTCCGGAGTTTATAGTCATTTAGCTCTTCAACATCTGTGATCTTCTGCTGCGGAGGCGGCGGGAGAAGCTCGAGCTCCCTCTCCTTTGCCTCCCTCAGCAGCTGCTCCGCTGTGATCTGAACTTCGGCGGGTGCCTTGTTTTTCACCTGCAAGGCAAGTACAAGGCGGGGGGGCTCGGCACACGTTTACCAAAGGCAGCACCGAGAACATCCATTCCCTCCGGCGCCCCGCCACGCGCGGTGCCCGAGGCGAGTGGGGACTGGGGGGAATGGAGGGGTCTCGGGGGTGGACAGAGGGGGTCCCGGGGGGGATGGAGGGGTCCCGGGGGGTCCCCGCCGCCCACCTTGGCCACTTTGGGGATGCGCTGCTTCCCAGCCGCCGTGGACGCCATCTTGCCGCCGCTGCGCGCGCAGGCCCCGCCCCGGCACCCCTGACCTCACGCAGCGCCGCCCGCGCGTCGTTGCCGCGGTAACGGCGACGCGTCCCCCCGGGACTGTCCGTTCCGTCGGTGGGACAGCCTCCTCGGTGTGTCTCGCCCTGTCGGGCTGATCTGTTCCATCTGTCCCGCCTTTCCTTGTCCTCGGGGCGCTCTGTGGCCGGGGACGGGGCAGGTGAGTGCGCGGCGCGGTGCCCGCGCTCCGCGGGGCGCCCCCTGGCGGCTCGGCGGTGTGGGGGCTGCCCGCCCGCCTGAGGGGCGAGGTTCGCGCCCGGGGGTCCGTGAGGCCGCCTCGGGGTGTCCATGGACAGTGAGGGTGTCCAGCCCCCGGTGTCCCACCCCGGTGTCCAGTGAGGGTGTCCAGCCACCAGTGTTCAGCCCCCGGTATCCAGTGAGGGTGTCCAGCCCCCGCCCAACCCCGCGGTACCGCCCCCGGTCCGGCCCCTCCCCGCCCCGCGGCACCGGGGGTGCCCCTCAAGAGCCGCCCTCAGCAGCTTCCCACGGCTCTTCACAGTCCTCCTCATGTATGTGTGTGCTCGGTGCGCTTTGGGCTGCAAACAGCGAAAAAAAATCCGTGTGGAGTCTTGATTATGCTTGGAGAGAGCGTGTGTGTGAGGCGGCGGGAGGTGAGTTCGGGAGGGATCGCCCTCACCTGCTTGTTCTGCTGGGTGTCCCTGGGATGCTGCTCCGCTGTAGGAACAGCGAATTCCTCACGAGAATGGTACATTTTCACTGTGAAAGTGCCGCTTTCGCTGCCTGCGAGAGCTTTTAGGGGAGCCGGTGGAGATGCGGGTGTATTTTTGGGGTTTTTTTGCGTTAAGTTAAACTGTTGGCAGTGAAAATGTGGCAAGCGGTTTTCCTCAGTTGAAGTCAAATTAGCGTGGTGAGTGGCCCTTTAAAGTTGGGGTCACTTTTCATTTTTGAAATTGACGCGTGTTTGCAGGGGATGTGTTGCTTCAGGTTAATTTCAGAACCCTCGCTGGAATGTCTTGTTTGTCCGTGAAAGATGTAGGAGTATATAAATACTCTGTCTGTATTTAAAAGGTGTGAGATCTGCATTTCTTTTGGTTTGTCACTTTAGTTAGGAGTTGTGGTGGCTGATAACTGAGCATCACGTTTGCATTTGGAGTCACTGCTGGAAGTGGCTGTTTGGCAGAGTGGTGAAATTGCTCTGCTGGTCTAGGTGTGTTGGTTTAGGCTTTTTTTTTTTTCCTGCCTAGGAAAGCAGTACAACTTTAAATAGCCACAGAACTTTGAATTCCTTTAGAAATTTAAGCCCTGCTGTTGACCTCAAGAGAAATTCGAGGAGCAGTTTTGGATAAAATACATTTAACTCACCTGAAGCTGCTGTTTAATCGGGACTTTGTGTCCCAGATTGTTTGTAGCTGAGCCTCCCACTGAAGGCCTTTGAGTTTGAAGTTCTTGGTGATGAGCTGGTTAGCATGCAAATGAATAAACAGGAAAACAGGTGTAGCCTATTAAATAAATTAATTTCCTCTGTAGGATCGAGACCATAGGCGTGATCCCCTGCTGCCTTTCAGGTGTGCACTGGACATGCAGTGCATATCTTTGTGGAGGTATGCAGGAACCAGGCACCAAATCCATAGAAGCTGCCCCAGTTTAGAGTTGTTATGAAAATCCTCCTGAAGTGTTGGGCAGGGGATGGCTGGAGCCAGCAGTGTTTTCCTTGGTTCTCAGGGCAGCCGGCGGGATGGCCACAGCAACCTCCTCCAGGGGAAATACAGATGTGGTCACTGCCAGAAGGACAGAGTCCCATGATGTCCCAGGCATTATCAGCCTCTTCAGCCCTGCCACACAAAACCTCTTTGGAAGGATTGATGTCACTTACCTCTTGTAAGTAATGGTGTTTTACATTGCCACCTTTCAGGAAATTGCACTTAAAATGGCAGAAAACATTCTGAGCCTTGACGTGGTGTGACATAATGCCTTTTTGTGCTGTTTCTAAAAATGGAAAGAGACTCTACTTTCATGTCTGTCACATGCATGACTGTGCAAACCTGGGTCTGCCATGGTGGACAAGGTTTAATTCTATACTAGCTTCCTTTTGTAAAAGCTCAGAAGAAATGCAGTTGAATAAAAACAATCAGCAGCCAGGCTGTGTGACAGACAGGTACTGGTGGGTCACTTATGTTTTTTCCCCCTTAATAGCAAAAATCCCAGATAACAGCTGTTTGGGGGGAAAAGAGATGTGTGAAGAAACACACAAATGGAACAGAATGTTTAAGTTCTTGCATCTCAAATTTACTAATATGATTGAGGATTTGAAAATCCACCTGGATTTTTATGGTGTTAGAACACAAATACGTGGAACTGAAGCAACAATTCCAAGTTAGCATGTGGATGATGAAGTTTTATTGAGGCCTGATCCTGGGAACCCTCTTGAACATGGCTAATTTTGCTGTTCCAGCAGGCTAAATTCACAGTCAGTCACTTTTCTATGTGGAGCTTCTTCAACTTGTGCAAAATTGAATTGTTTTCATAGAGAATTATCAAATCTTGCTTTGACACTCTGCAATGAGAAGAGTGAGGTTATAGCCCATGCTGCCTTTCTGGACTATCCAAATTGGAAGATCACAGATCAGGCTGAATGGGAACCATTCCTGCATGAAAACTACACCAACAATAAGTGCACTGTAAGTAAATTGTGTGATTTTAGTTGAGCTTTCATTTAAGGCTCAGGTATGGAAAATACACGTGGGCATCCACAATCTGTTTCCAGCAGATTTGAGGCATTCAGGACACAGAAGGTGATGGAGTCCTTGTCAAACCCTTGTGCTGACAAGGGGAACCTTAGTTCTGCAGTGAACTTGTTCAGTGCTGGCAGGGAGACTGTGACTTTCTGGTAGGATCTGCAAACTACAAACAGGCCCTTAGGAGCTTAGCACTCAAATGCTCCCCCATCACCAAGTCCAGCTGGAACTAGGTTGTTGAGAAAATACAGAAAATGTGAGACCCCCAGGCACTCATAGGGTGTGCAGCACATGCCATAATAAGGTGTTGGCAGTGCTGCAGTTATCTCTGGGCATTTTGTTCATCAGTTGCCCGGGGTCTTCTGTGATGTTAAGCCATGGCTTGGAGGTAAACTGACAATAACAGTGCTTGAAAACGTGTGCTCTTAATGGAAACGCCATCAGTACAGCGGGATTGTTGAGAAAATACAGAGAATGTGAAACCCCAAGCACTCATAGGGTGTGCAGCACGTGCCATAGGAAGGTGTTGGCAGTGCTGCAGTTATCTCTGAGCTGTTTGGGGGGAAAAGAGATGTGTGAAGAAACACACAAATGGAACAGAATGTTTAAGTTCTTGCATCTCAAATTTACTAATATGATTGAGGATTTGAAAATCCACCTGGATTTTTATGGTGTTAGAACACAAATATGTGGAACTGAAGCAACAATTCCAAGTTAGCGTGTGGATGATGAAGTTTTATTGAGGCCTGATCCTGGGAACCCTCTTGAACATGGCTAATTTTGCTGTTCCAGCAGGCTAAATTCACAGTCAGTCACTTTTCTATGTGGAGCTTCTTCAACTTGTGCAAAATTGAATTGTTTTCATAGAGAATTATCAAATCTTGCTTTGACACTCTGCAATGAGAAGAATGAGGTTATAGCCCATGCTGCCTTTCTGGACTATCCAAATTGGAAGATCACAGATCAGGCTGAATGGGAACCATTCCTGCATGAAAACTACACCAACAATAAGTGCACTGTAAGTAAATTGTGTGATTTTAGTTGAGCTTTCATTTAAGGCTCAGGTATGGAAAATACACGTGGGTGTCCACAATCTGTTTCCAGCAGATTTGAGGCATTCAGGACACAGAAGGTGATGGAGTCCTTGTCAAACCCTTGTGCTGACAAGGGGAACCTTAGTTCTGCAGTGAACTTGTTCAGTGCTGGCAGGGAGACTGTGACTTTCTGGTAGGATCTGCAAACTACAAACAGGCCCTTAGGAGCTTAGCACTCAAATGCTCCCCCATCACCAAGTCCAGCTGGAACTAGGTTGTGGGATTGTTGAGAAAATACAGAGAATGTGAAACCCCAAGCACTCATAGGGTGTGCAGCACGTGCCATAGGAAGGTGTTGGCAGTGCTGCAGTTATCTCTGGGCGTTTTGTTCATCAGTTGCCCAGGGTCTTCTGTGATAAGCCATGGCTTGCAGGTAAACCGACCAAAACAGTGCTTGAAAACGTGTGCTCTTAATGGAAACGCCATCAGTACAGCCAAGGGGAGCATGCAAAAAGGACCTGTGGTTTCCTTGCAATGGACTTTGTTTGTCCCTTGAGTAGCACTTGTAGGCAGCCACTTCAGTCAGGGTACAGCTGCAGCTGCTCTGGGGGTTCTGCTGTGCTGTGATCTCCCTCAGGCTGTCTGGTGGCTCTGCAGGATCTGCTGTAGGGGCCTGCAGAGAAAAGACAAGAAAAATTAACTACTGCTCAGAACCAGTAGTAAAAAATACCTTGAAACAGACAGGCAGCATTCTATTTTTCTAGAATGGAGTTTATTTGCGAAAGGAGGTGTAGAAGATTTAGTGTTTTATGTTTCTGCATTGGCAGAAGCTCTGAATGTTTTCTGGGGTATAACCTGAGATGTCATTGGTGAACTGTAGGTTAAATCCATGAGGGGTGCTTTTCAAAACTGAGGTCATCTGAACATAGGAATTCTGTCAAGTATAGTTAACCTGGCTTTTTCCTAGAGAACAGAACTAATTTCAGGTTCTGAAGTGGGAGTTGGCTTGTGCAGAAAGGAATAAGTGAAGATGTTTTACTGGATTGTCTGGTTACCAGCACTATTCACAAACAGTTGCAGTCCACATCTGGTTTACTTGGTGTCCTCTCAGACCTCAATAGTAATATATATTTTTTTTATTTCTTCCCTTTGCTTCTAAAAAATAAACAAACTGCCTGATGTTTAGGGATGTCTTTAGATGTTTGTTATAGTAGCTTCTTGTCCTGATGCTGATCCATGTACTGCAGCCTCTGTTGAACTCATTCTTGCTCTTAAATTGCTGAAGTTTGTTGGTGCCTCTAGCTATGGTGTTT